AGCACTGGCAAATTGAACAATGCTCCTTGTTGTTCAAAAGCTGATATTTGTTAAGTGTACAATTCATATGCAAGGAAGCACAAGATATCAATCTGATTGGGTGTGGCACTTACTCCAGAGTACCATGAGTTTAGCCCTGCATGAAATTTTAAGCTTACAAGATTTCATGAGAAATATATCTGAAGCAAAAAAATATGCTTCACTCTGTCTGTTGGTAGGTGTTGAGTGATTAGTCACGGTCAAATGCAAAAGAAATAACTGAAATGACCAACAAATAGAATTAACAAAGTCTGCAATAAAAAGAATCAAAGGGGGTAACAATGAAATAATATTGAGCAAGCAAGCAAATGATATATGCAAGGTAAATTAACAGGTAAAAAAGCCAAAAGTTCACAAACTATGAATTGGTGTCGACAGCAAGGCCAGTCAAGTGAATGCAGTGGTCTGGATCAGGGTTATTTACCTCACCTCCCCACAAGGTAGAATGTGGCACAAAGCCTTTTTTATGTGGGGCGAATCCAAGCCTGTAGGCTTTGCACAAAAATCCTTCATAGACCCTGCATACATGGGGTCAGGCTTGTCTACCTCCCCTGACACAACTCTGCCTTTGTCTGAGTTCCTCTCTGCCAGCAAGTCAGCCTGAATCGCTTGAATCGGCAGATCTGGACTGGGTCATGTCAAACTGCAAACAACTCTATTTTGTTGGCCAAGAAAATATCCCAGCATGCATTTGTGAACTTCAACCTATAAAAAGGGAAGGGAAAATGTTTTGCAGTTGTTTCCATTATGAATTGAAATCAACAGTAGGACACTGATTTTATTTTTTTCTTCTAGTCAACAGTTTCAGTCTCTGTTGCTTGGCGTATAGCATCTCCACTTTTAACAAAGGAAATCAACTTCAGTACAAATAGGCAAAAAAATGTAACAAATTTCTGCCTATTTGTTGTTTCCTTTTGCTCCCTATTATTAATTTTTGTTGTTTTTTATTATCATTGTTTTGACCTTTGTCCTCTTTATTGCCATATTTACATTGTTTTGGCTGTTGTGTGCTCCGACCTTCTTCATATGATTGGAATTTCAAACTGAACCCTTTATTTCATCCACCAGGGTAGATTATCTAGTTCCACATGCCATGCCTTTTCTAGATATCTCAATTATCTCCCTTTAATTCAACTCTCCAAGTAACAGTCCAAACAACAATGTAAATAGTGTAAATAATTACAATACCTCATCTCAGAAATATACCATTTTTTTGTCTTAATTTCTCTTGCTTCTTATTGCAACTTTACAGATCTCAATTAATACCAATAGTCCTGCTATTTACTCATAGTAAAGGGAAAATATCCAGCAGGATTTCAACTTGCATTTCTTATCCTTAGGGTCTGTCTTTCTGTGACCTTACTTTACTGATTAGTCTACAGAGGCTAAGCAGAAAAGTCATTCAAAATTTAAACATAGTTTTAAAGGTTGAACAATGATAATCTGGTCATTGTAAGAAAAAGCAAATGAAATTAAGATTAGAGAAATACTAGTCAAATATTATGCATAATGGCAGTACTTCATCTAAGAAATTCAAGTAAACTTAAGACTACTATATCTTATACTACTGCATGGTGCAAACAAGAGACAGAAATATAATGAAAAGAAAATTAGTTAAAAATGCAATGGAGTTGTTAGCCTCATGCTCAACCAGTTTTGATCTCACCGATGAACTGTGCTAATCAACCAAAGAATTTTATTTCACACAAAGAAGATCTCCATTATCAAGAGGTATTGTCATCAAATCCATACTTTTCAAAAGCTGATTGGGATATACACTATTTACATTATTTGGACTATAGTCCTCATCTTTGTTGCCATATTTGTTACAAAGTTTCGGCCATTGTAGGCTCCAGCCTTCTTCGGGTGGTTGGAATGTCGAGCTGAACCCTTTATTTCGTTCACTGGGGTAGACTGTTCTAGTTCCACGTGCCATATTTAATGGATGTCAGTTATCTCCTGTTCATTCCCCTCTCCAAGTTCTCCACTGCCTTAACAGAGTATTGAACTCACACTCTTTGGGTCCTGTCACACTGTGCCATGTGTCCTTGACATAAGTATGGCAACAAAGATGAGGACAATAGTCTGAATAATGTAAATAGTGTACATAATACCTCATCTCAGAAATATAGACAGATACTGAAAGGCCGAAACGTTGTAATAAATATGGCGACAAAGATGAGGACAATGGTCCGAATAATGTAAATAGTGTACATAATACCTCATCTCAGAAATATAGACTGATAGTGATTGGGATATAAATTAAAAAAATAAATTTTTATTCATATTTTATTTAGTGAGTTTCTTATTATGAAGTATGAAATGCATGATCAACCAAAACAAATTTACTTTTAATGATACTAATTATTTATTTCTCTATATAAAAGCCAGTGTCACTTGCATTTTTATTCACAAAACATGTCATGTTATTGTTTTAGCCATATGTGATAAAAACCTGTTTAAATTTATGAGCATCTCATGAGAAAGCTGAAGTATGGATAAGTAAAGTACATTGATCTGAAACTATTCTGTTGAATATGTACTCACTTTGGCAGTACATATACTAAAATTGGAATGATACAGAGAAGATTAGCATGGCCCCTGTGCAAGGCTGACATGCAAATTCGTGAAGCGTTCCATATTTTTTGGCCCTCTCTAAAGTAATGTTGCCACACACCGACTTCCAACCCAACATAAATAGGAGCATTAAAGAAAAATGGCATCAATTATGGAATAACTGTATAAACAATAAACTATTCAGCATCCAACCAATCATCAGTGAAAGACTGTCAAGTTCCAGAAAGATAAGGAGAGAGGAGATGGTTCTAGCCAGACTCTGTATTGGACACACACATATATAACATACATGGGGCACCTCAGCGTGGTGTAATGGTTAGCAAGCTTGTCTCACTAGAACATATTACGACTAAGTAGTGATTTCAATCCTCACTGGGTGCTCCATACTTACAGCCTTGTGCCACATCTAAGCAGCACTTAGAAAATCGCTATAACCCACCAACATCTACTAAAAAATGAGGAACCACAAATGTGTCCTATGCCAGGAACCATATACAGTCAAACACATTCTATTAAACTGCTATAAATTTCAGCAAACCTGAATCAAACTCTACAAATCAGATAAAGGATCTATTAGAAAATATCATAAATTTCATTAAAGAATTTAGGCACTACAGAAAATACATATATAAAAAAAACAGTTTAGTAAGTCTGCTTACTTACATGGTTTTGTAACCTATTCTGGAACGAAAAATTATTTCCAGCAATACATTTTTGAAGAAAATTATTACGATCAATACATTTGACTCTCAATAAAATCCCTCTTTATAAAATATGTCAATGAAAAATGATTTCTTATAAAGAAGTCATACTCTGTTCGTATGAATCTATCAGAAAAATCTTGTCAGCATTAAATAACCCTTCAAGATTGATATGCCATTAAACTAAATAAACCTAAACCAAACTGTTGAATATATTACAATATTGGATTACAAGCATCAAATTTTCATTCAATGAAGTTCTTCTCTGTGAAATAGAACCCTGCTAATAAAATTTTGGTATTTTAGGACTGAATTTACATAAATTCTTTAGAGAATTTCTGTTGAAAAAAATTTCAATTACAGCATAGTGTATAGCACATTAGTGAGGAAATATTTTAATAAATAGTATCATTTTAAGTTCAAAGCTTCCAAAAGCTGTTAAAATCAAGCAAAAATAATTATCAGTTATCTGTTTGGCTTCCTCACTTTGTAGTTTAATTGATGAACTTATTTGACATAATGAAAATTGATTTGATTTCGTTCTGATATTTCTTCTTTTTACAAAAGAAACAAATTGAGAGCACTTTTGACTAACATTCTATTCTCATTCAAAGGAGAAATATTGCTTCTCGACTAGATATCATTGCTGTACAAATTTTTATTAGTTTTTTTTTCTCCACTTTTTTAAGGGCTATGTTTCTTCAGAAAATAGATGATCATGACACTTCACAGCATTCTTTTCTTTATTATCTGTGAATTGACACAATAGTTTTCCATTGCCTTCTTCATGATTTTGCACCTAGATTGTTTGCCCTACCAAGGCTAAAAAGCTCAGTCTACCTTACTATTTTACCCATAGCTTGAAGAGAGAAGAGATGTAGTTCTGCTTTTTCCAGGGGTATTAGATGCAACAGCCTTAGCTGAGATTTGAACTCTTATTTTTTATTGATTCCATTTTCTGTGCAAGTAACTAATATGCCACTTGCATATCCACTTTGGTTATTATAATATTATTATCAATAAATGCCCATATTGAATTGATATTAATGAGGTAATAAATGCCCATATTGAATTGATATTAATGAGGTAATAAATGCCCATATTGAATTGATATTAATGATAAGGTATGGATGTATTTTGCTTATCTAATATATTGCTTCATTGTCGATTTGATTTATAAACAAGAAATTATTAAATATCTATTAAGAAATTTGTGAATATTTCTAATATTCAAGCTTATATTTTGTACTTCACATTTCCAAATAATTTCTGTCCTGCACAGACATGAATTTTTAAAGAAAAAGTTTAAGAAGTTTTTAAAGGAATCACTGTTATTATCATTAATTTATATAAAATTGATCGATTCCGTATAATATCAACATGGAGGCTTGTGGCCATATAGAGTTGAAACACAGGTTTCCATATAATCTGTGCCTTTGCTTCCTTTTTTTCAGCCATGTTTCAAATGCCTTTAAGGTACTGTAATGGAAAAAGAAACAAGATAATTATTGTTTCAATTATAATAAAAAATAACAAAAATAGCATGTTATTATTTTTAAAAAAAAATTTTTTTTGCTAAGGCAATACTATGAAGGGATCTGTGGGTAGCATAGCTTTTATTGGTGTGGAAACATGGAATCAGTCACCTAAGTTCAAATGTTGGCAGGTTCACAGCTACATCACATTGAAACACTAGTTCCCTTACAAGCACCTAAGTTAAGCAACATTGAGCCTGGTCAGTACCTAGCTGGATAACTGCTTGGGAATACCAGGCGCTGTTATTATCATCATCATCCTTTTCAACTCCTTATGGTTGATCAAAACTCCATTGACAATCCCTTTCTACACAGTTTGATCCTGCATTGCTGTCCCCAGATCCACAGAAATTGTAACCATGGTCTATTTGGTAGAGTTGCAGTATAAACCACAGGTTGACTCTGTAGGTGTTGAAGAAACACAAATGTGTCCGATTAACAGGGATGAGCTGGCTATCCTAACAGACAAGAATACTATGAAATGAGCAACCAGACATTGTTTATTACAATTAGGTGTAAGCAAGCAATGAAGAAAACAGCTTCCCTGTGCCTTTTCTATAAATATTTTCATCGTACTTGTTCTGAAGAACTTTCTTCTATTATGCCTTGACTTTATGAATTTAAGCACAGTACTAGATTGGCAGCTAGGTCTCATCATTCTATAGTTGAAATGGTGAGATGTAACCATAAGTTCTATGCTAACAGTTTCTTCTCTCATAGTTCTTGCTTGTGGAACTCTCCTTTGGCTTCATGCTTTCCAATCAACTTTGATCTTTAAAAATTTAAATGCAATGTTATTTTCTGTCTTAATTCCTGTTCTTTAATTTTTCTCTCTCCTTAATAGTATTATTGTTTTTTCTCATATTCTTTAACACTCAGTAGCCCACTTCTGTCTTAGTGGCTTTATTGCCTTGCATGGGGTGAAATGATTAAAAAAAAAAAAAAAAGAAGAAAAGTTAATAATGAAGAAAAAGTTAATAAATTTGGAAAGATTAAAGAGAGATTTTTTTTTCTGGTCAAATTTAAAGAAAATAATTGGCCAATGCAATGTTAAATTCATTCTGAATGAGAATAAAATGAAAATTATTCTCTGCTCTTGATGATTACGTATTGCTCAGCTATACTTATATCAGTATAAATTATTTTTTCAGTTGCATCAGGATATTTGTTTCCTTTGCTCATGTTTCTTTATTTTTCTTTCTTCCATTGTCTCATGTTTTTAGCAATGGATGTGCTACATCTGAAGATATGTTATGGAAATTAGATGCGCTCCAGTCGTTCATTCGTGACCTACGATGGCCTGAGGAAGTATTTGCAGAACACCTGGACAATAGACTGAAGATCATGGCTGCTGATATGATTGAAGCTGCAGCCAAACGGTATGTACTTTTTCTTAAATCTTATTTCCAATCTGTCATTATTTATTTATTGTCTTTTATTTAGTTTTACATATACTAAACTTTCACAAGAGCTACTCTAGATAGTGTTACAGATACCAATATGATAATAGTCCCCACATATGATGACAAACTACATCTGGCTGCAACATTGGCAGATTTAACGTTTTGAGGAGCATGGAACCACCTCTTAAATGCTTTTGTTTCCAGGTCTACCTGGCCCAGGGTGGTAGCACCTGTTAGGGTCTCAGCTATGGGCAAATAGTGAATCCCCTTAACAAAGGTCAAAATACTAGGAAAGTATAAAAGTACATTTTTATAGCAAAGTGACCAGCAATACATTTTACAGTAGAATTACCAACAATACATTTTTATAGCAAATTGACCAACAATACATTTTAGTTTTTTAAATAAAATTAATAACAATTTGCTATGATAAATCTCATTTCTTATAAGGAAAAACAAATTTCCAATCATTTGATTTTGGAAGATTATCTGGTAAAAAACAGTGATACATTTAAGTAATTATAGTTTAATCCTGGAATAATTTCATTCTCTTGAATTAATTATAAAGTTTGAATTTTCATATTTAGATTTCATCATTAAATAACCCATGGAGGTGTTGATATGCCGCTAAACAAAATCAACCAAACCAAACAAAACAGATTTCGATATTAAATAACCGATAGAGGTTGATACGCAGCTGAACAAAATCAACGAAACCATTCAACCAGCCAATATGATAATGCTGAATGATGCTTATCATATTAACAGAATAAAAGATGATAAAAATGAAGATTATAAGATGATGATGATTGCCCTACCTGTTGAGGTCTGAAATGTTGGAACTAAAAATTGAGCTCATCTGAACATTTGCCATGGGAATAGCAATAGGATAGTGACAGGCTTGCAATATTGAATCTTTGAGAAACAGGCTGGGCTGTTCATGTAAATGATTTTGAACTTAATGAGAAGTTCTAGCTTAGATATAACAGCAATGGTTCATTTTTGGTTTAATTTGACCCTTGTAAAGATAAAAGCATGGCAGAAGGAGTTCAATACATCTTGGATTGATGAGCTGATCAGTTTTTGTAGAACCAACCCCCAAGATGATGCTTCTTTGATCACTACAATCTTAACTTGTTAAGGTCCAATGTTAACCATTATCTCCCCAACATATCCCCAAGCCTCTACCTTGGGTGGCTCTTGGGTTTTGTAAAGGGTGAACATTATTGTAAAAAAAAAAATCTA